TTGAATTGAATATTATTGAATGAAGCTCACTTTATGATAGTTCCTTGAGCTGGGCTTTTAGGTTTTGCACATCTGTGTTATACTTGAATAAGAAATGTTTTAAAAGAGCTTAAAGCCCAGATTGTGGTGACCGACTTCTTTTCCCTGACTCAACAATGCACAAGCTTGCTTTAGGAAGATCACCATTTATATCCATAGTCTATCACAGGAGATGAAAATTCCAGTGCCTTCCCTAGCCAGGGGATAACATAAGCAAGTGAAGATGGCCCAGCAGGACTGTGCTTTTCTAAACAACGTGAATCCCCTTTAAGTTCCAGCCAGCGTTATGGTGATAAACTGGGACTCCAAGACAAGGAGAAAAACAGTAAGTGAGCAGTGAGCAAGTGAGCGAGAGGAGAGAAAGACAGAGCCAGAGACAGAAGGAAAGATGGAGGGAGGAGGGGAGAATGAAGGAAGGAAGAGAGGGAGGGCAGGAGGAAGGCAGGTCAAGACAGGGGAAATAAAAGCTCTAATTTGTAGTTTGGCCAATATCTGTTAAGTAAATCATCCCACTATGGCTGGTTTCAGGCTATCAAGTGTTTAACAATTGGCTTTCAACATTCCTGAACACTTTGTATTTGGTTCTTATGAGTCAGTCTGAGTGGGCTCCAACATGCCACCAGTCCTGGCCAATAGTTGTCATCTTTGAAAATGGTTCCAATGTGTCCCGATCTTGGAATTTTTCAAAAGAAGCCAGATATGTGGATTTGTATCTGAAAACCCTTGATTTTTAAAAGGGTATCAGCTAGTCCAAATGTTTAAAAAAACTTTTTTCAAACTAAGAAAAAAAGCACACCTGCAAACTAGATTTGGCCCATAAGATAGATGCCAGTGTTTGAACTCTGGCCTACAAACTCTTTGAAGGAGAGTCTCAAGCCTCAGTGATGAAGCATCGTCTTTTGGACACATAGGGTGCAGACTTACTCTGAGTGGCTATATGGTGCAGTGAAGGACTACTACCTACCCGGGGGTCAGGAGAACTGGATTCTAGCCCCAGTTTTCAATATTGCAATCGCTTTACTTACCCGAGCCTCAGTTTCCCCATCTGTGTCAGGATGCCTTCTGAAGATGTTCTTGTTGTATTAGAACTTCCAGCACAATGTAATGAGCATACACATCTGTAAGGCTATCCTTTGGGACAAGAAAGATTTTGCAGCATGGCAGGGATAATTCAGTGGTGCCTGGTCACTGGACAGAGAGTGCAACCCACTCATCAAAGAGAAGGTGAGGCTTTCCCGAGGCCATCCATTGGCTTGCTGGGCAAGTCCCGTCTGGGTGCTCCATAGTCCTCAGCCTCCTTGATTTCTTGAAGGTAACAAGTTCACTTTCTTGAAAGGAAACAGATTGTAGCAGGAAGCCTTGAACCTGAGAGTTTGTGAGACCTGGGCTTGAATTGTGGCTCTGGAACTTGTCAACTAGGGATTTCAACCTCACTTTCCCCATGAGCTCCTCCTACCTTACACAGATTGTGACAAGAACCATCAGCTGTTTAAAGTGTCTTACACAGTTTCTGGAACAGTGGCAAATAAATGTTAATCGCCATTATCATCGTTACGACTTACCCAGGCATCTACGTATAGGTGCTGGACAGCCAACAGCCCAGATATTCATTACAATTTAATCTTATGTCTCCTTTGGTTTCGTTCTCTTTACTCTGTTATTTTGGAGATTCAGCCAGAGCTAATATTTCTGCAAGATCCAGACAGGCCTGGACGCAGATATTCTGATCTAATCCAAATGTATGGGCTCAGGAATGCTCACAGAGAGATGCTGCTATGTATTCTGCTGGAGAAAGTTCACACACTGGAAGGGAAAGATTCAAACTTGGAACATCTGAGAAGGCAATTAGGTGGCTTAATCTGGGTCGTTAACTTCTTTTAAAATAACATGTGTAAGTTCCCAAAAGACAGGATCAGAACTCTATCGGAACTTGGGACAAAGCGAATAATCATGCAGCCTGATCCTGTTTGTACCTAAAATGTTGATCTTGGCTCATCATGGCTTTTTTCATTCAGTTCGATTTTTAAAATATTGCATGAAAATATTGCCTGGATCACTGCCTTTTTTGGTGCCCATTAAATTTTGTACTTCTTCACCTTGGTCCCAACCCTGCTCACTGTCGTGTGAGCACCCTAAGCCAAGAGCTCCTTGGAAGGGTTGTTGTGTTTTTGAGAATTTCTAGTTGAATTTCAATCAGGAATGAGATCCAAGTCTCTTTACATGCTGAGGCAAGACTTTGTGGAGAAAGGAAAGCACTAGGAGTCAGAAAGCCGGGTTCTAGCTTGAATCTGGGTGTGCTATATCACTTGAGTGGATCATTAGACTTTTCTGTTTCTTTGACTTTGAAGTAAGGATAAAACACACGCATACATTTTTGGCAAGGCTGGAATATCTTAATGTTGACTAAAATATTACATGAAAATATTCACTTTTCTGCTGAGTTCTTGGTACGCCCTATATGTACAAAGAGAGTTAGACAGATGCTTGGTTGCAGACAGAATTCACTGTGGTTACCCCAACTGTGGTCACTGCACTACACTGGCTATTGCATGGGCTACTTGTTCCAGGAGAGACTGCTGGTACAGTCTCGGGAACTGTACCTGGGACCATCGTCACCTCTGCCTCCGTAGACGCCATGTCTCTCTGTCACCCTAACTGAAAGTCTTCTACTCAGCACTCTGGACTCTGCAAACTCTCCTTCTAATCAAAGTCTTGCATGCGTGCATCTAAGGAGGCCAGGCCTATGCTTCTATCCAGCTGCAAAGGAATTCGGGGAACGATTTCTCGCTCCTTCCTGGGGAACTGGAATCAGAAATCAGGAAAATTTCAAACCCACACGGGGTCTTGGGGAAGTGCTGAGCAGTTAGATGTCATGATGGATGTCCACTGCAGAGGGGTGGCTTTTGCAGGCTCGAAGAGCGTTCATGGGTGTATGTGCAAACACAGGGGCAAGGGATCAAAGATACACTTGGAAAACCACCTCCCTCTTCCCTGAAGTCACACATGCTTGAAGCCACCCCATTTCCCTGCACATCCTGGAAACAGAAGTGTTTATGAGAAACCGGTCTGACAGTCACTCCTGGTGTCCCATCATTCATTTAAACCCTTAGATTCCCGTTTTCTGGTAATCTGATAACGTGACTTCCTTGCCCCTGCGGGAGGCTCTCTGGACTCATTAATCTGAAAATCCTTGGGAAATTCATCTGCAAAGGCCTATGGCTAACTGTCACCATGGTCAGCTCACAGACAGGCAGCCGAATATTTACAAGTTCTAAAATCCTGGCCCTAGCCTGTCACTTTACCTAACCTGGCTAGATTCTCTGGATAGGACAGAAACAACTCAAAATGACTGCCCTGTCTCTTTTATGCAGATTACCAGGGGTTCAGGGCACCAGCACAGGAAGGTGTGCAGTGAAATGAAACAGTGAAGTTCCCCCCCCCCCCACCCCCCGGGGGCATTTCCTTCTCTGCAGCTTCTCTTTAGCAGCTGCCTCATTGTGTGTGTGTGTGTGTGTGTGTGTGTGTGTGTGTGTTTGCTTTGCTCCTTTTATATTTTGAACTGATCGATGTTCAGGACCAGAACTCATCTTTGCCTTCTCTGCCCCAACAATGTCTCAAAAAAAAGATAGTTAACAATTTTTTTTTTAAATAACTTCTATATTTATGCAATAATATTCTTTTGGTCCTTTTCATCACAAACGAGTCGGTTTTTCCACAGAAGGAATAAGGAATATAATAAATGATGATTATATCCTAAAGGTAACATCACAGATGACTATTTAACCAATAGTATTGTCGAAAATTGTTTATTGCAGAGAAAAGAAATAAGAAAGCTCTTTTTTTTCCTACACTCCTACTCAAATGAAACATAAAATCAGTAATCCCAAGTAAGAGATTATTTCGGAGAGATTCTATACCTCGAAGGAGGCTGAAACTCAAAGAAGAGCAGGTGGCCTCAGAAGCAGCAGGCAGTGGAGCATCTGTGGGCTCCTCACAAGACTCCGTAGACGTGAACTTCTGGCAAGTCAGAAGATGCCAACATCGGTTCTTTGTTTAATCTAATTTCATTCCAAACACCAGGGCAGTTAAATCTCTAGAACTATTCTTAGGTTTATTAGACTTAATACAGCTTGTCTTTTGGCTCACAAATGGGACCAAGAAAGGAGAAGGAATGCTCTTCTCCAGGAAGCCTTTCCCACCTCCTGCCTCCAAGTTCAGAAATTATATCTCCTTCTCGGGCAATTCCATAGTTTCTTTGTTTCCGCCCCCCCCAGCCCCCCATTAATATTGATTATATCTTCCTGTGTTTTCTGGTACCTGGGTATACAGTGTTCCTCTTCACCAAATTACACATTTCCCAAAACATAGGAGGGTTTGTGCTTTACTTTCTTCACCTGCTATAATAAAAAATATCACAAACCGGGAGGCTTAAGGACAACAGAAATGGGTTTCTCACAGTTCTGGCTGCTGGGAAGCCCAAGATTATGGCACTGGCAGATTCTGTGTCTGCTGAGAGTCAGCTTGCCCACTGATGGCTGTCTTCTCACTGTGCCCTTACATGGCAGAAGGGACAAGGGAACTCTCTGGCGTCTTTTATAGGCATTAATCCCATTTATAAGGGCTCTGCTCTAGCAACCGAATCATTTCCCAATGGCCCCACTTCTTAATACCAGCACCTTAGGGGTTTGATTTCAATACATGAATTTGATGGGGGGGGGGGCACAAATATTCAGATCATAGCCACTTGGAATAGAGTTTAGTCATAGAAAGTGTTCTATTATCATTGTTACTATTGTCTCAATTCATCTAATTCCTACATCAAGCTATTCTGTGGGCACTCGATCTGTGCTTGCTAAATGAATGTGCAGATTCTCATGGCTCTGTGTTTATAGTGACTCCCCCAGGGCCCCTCCCCCACGTCCCAGTATACACACACACTCAGAGTACCATGACACCATTCCTTTACTCTCAGGTCCATGTTTTTATTTGGAGAGGGGAGCACTACTTTACAAAACAGTGAGGACTTCTGTTCAAATGAAGATGTCTAATTTTTCCTGGGGGACCAAAAAGGTGTCAGACCATGCTGACTGCAGGGACTGCCTCTAAGTCAGGAGGTTGAGTCCTGGAGGAGAATTTGCACCCACACAGGGGTTCCCTTCCTCTGTATTTTGGGGAACATTGCTGAAGACTGATGAGGGGTTTCCTGAGAACAACATCCATTCCCTTGTCCCATACAAGACCTTGGTTTGACTGCCAAAAGTTCTCAAATTCGTTTATGACTGAGTCGCTAAACACACTTTCATAGAGCTGAATACCTACATAAAGAAAACATGATACCCAGAAATGCCATTATTTTGCACGGACACCCTTTTCTCTTCCTTCACGTGTGGCTGCCTAGGCAAGTCTTCAAGTCTTCCACGCGGTGAGGAAGGCGGCAGCCGGCTCTTGCGTTGGGTGATCAGGCGTTGGTGCCAGGACCTTTGCACGGCCACTCTTACAAAGACAAGCAGTGTGGTGTTTTGTGTACTTAAAGTGCCTCAAAGGTATTTTTAGGTGTTACAGGATACAATAAGAATACACTGATGGCCGAATTTGAAGGCAAAATCCAGACAGTTTGATTATTAACTCCCTGATTTACTGGTGTGTAAATTCAGTTCCAGCTGGAGGTGGGCATCTGCTGCATTGGAGGGCTCTTGACATCTACGCCTTTAAATGGGAACCAGCAAATGGAGATCAAAGGTGAGTCCTGGGGGAAGGGCTACTTAAAAGGTGCATTTTGTCCGTCTCGGACAGACTGTCTCCAGCTGAGTAGAGAAAGAAGCCCGTGGCCACACAGGGTCCAGCAGGCCTGTGGGATTCCCCAGCCAGCCAACCCACTTTCTCGCCTCTCCCCGTCCCTTAGCAGTGCCCCTCATTGGTCCTCGCAGTACAAAGCAAATGCCTGAGAGGAAGGCAGCTGGCCTCTTCACGCCTGCTTGTCTCTGCCTGAGTTTTGCAGTTCTTCCAGGGCCTTTCTGTAGCAGACATTCATCCCCTTGGCTGAAAAGGAGCACGGCTCCACGGGAGCCATGTGGGCTCAGGGCCAGGGAGGCTGAGGAGCATACAAGATGGAGACAGAGCTCAGTCCCACGGCAACCCACCAGGATGAACCTGCTCCAAGCTGGCCTGTCCTACAGAGCCCACTTCCTCACCATTGCCTTGAATTATTCATCAGCTCTTGCAGAGAAACAAAAGGCAAAGCCGTTTCATCTCCTCCAGAACTGACTGTCCTCCTCTTTGACCTCAGGGAGTCTTAAAATTCAAGATGCGCATCCAAAACTCCCATGCACTTTCGGAAGAGACAGGAAAATGCCCCGTCATCTTCCCCTTCCAGACTCGCTGAGCCCTGCTGAGCAAGTGTCTCTGGCTACTTGGTCCCTCAGCCTGTGCTTTGTCCTTCTTCTCACTGATCATGAGAAGGACGGGCAGGGATCCTTGGCCTCCTATTGAATGACCTGGACATCTTAATAGGTGCCAGGGGTCGGGACAAATGCTCTACCTAGACCCTAGGGCCATCTATGCTCAGCCTCCTAGGCTTCTCTTCAGAGAAGCTCTACCCTCCTGGTCCTGGATAGCCCTGCTTCCCAGACGACTGTGAACGGGGCAAACAAAAGGCACTTTGTCCAGTCGCCGCTGAACTTAAGCCCTCTACCAATCCCACCCCCTTTACTTCAACCCGAGTCCTGGATCTCCGCTTCACCAAGGAAACGTGAGCCACCAGGCAGAAGCTTCTCCTCCCTCCACCTCTAGAATTAGAGGCACCTAATTCTAGGCCTTCATGCCATCACCCCCTTTCCTGACTCGAAGGAATCTCTCCTCTTAAAACAACTACTGTCTCTAGTTCTGCCCTTTGCCCAAAAGCCCTGCCTCCTCGCCAGGACCCTGCTGGCCTGGGTGCACCTCCTCTGACAGAGTGGCAGTGTGCCGTGCTAATACCTTTTATGTGAGCACTGCCACCTAGCAGCCCTAGACCTGGGGCAGTTTCAAGCTGCCCTCGGCTGTGGGATAGTTAGGCAATTGTCAGGGCTTCTGGGAGACAATAGCAATCTCTGGCGATCAGAGGTAAAGCAGCCCTGGACAAGCTCGCTGACAGGTGCCCGTTACCATGGCAGCAAGTCTGAGATCAAATTCTGCTAAACAAGCAGCACTATCGCCAAGCAGGCACAAAACCCTCGCCTTAAATCTGTTTCGCAAGCTTGGCCTGGCCCTGCTCCATCCTCAAGCACTCCGGCGAGCACCTCGCATGAGAAGATAGCTTCCAGGCAGACAGAACTGAACTCTGACGGCAGGCCCAGCCAGCAAGACTGGGAAGGGGGGCTCGGGGGACACCGCTGCTTCTTCGCAGGTCACACCGAAGTGTCTGCTGAAAGATCTTCAATCATCCCACACACAGTCCGAGAATACGTGACTTAAGCTCTTTGGTACAGCTCTTCCCTCATTCTGGAAAAACGGCAATAATGATGGCATCTGCCCTCTAGGGATGCCGGGAGAAGGAAGTGAGTTAGTCAACACATCCACAACATGTAAGAGAGAGGCTGGCTACGGTCAGCGCCCGCTCCATTTATTTCTTATTATCATGTTTCTCTGAACTCTCTCATTCTCATCAACCTACAGGATGCCTCCTTAGATCTTACCTTTCTGTCAGTTTACACCCTCTGTGCTGCTCGACTTCTTCAAAGATTAACCTTCAGTCTGTGTCTCTACTGAATCAATTCTACCTCAACTTTCCACTCAAGTCCACAGTTTCCCATAATTTCCTATTCAATTCCTCCAATATCTGTGACACCCCTTGCAGGTACACTGGCCATCCTGTGGCAGGTGCAGGAGAGAGTTCAAGAGGTATATCTGAGGAAGTGTACCTCTTTAAGGAGCTCTGGAAAGAGAAAAGAATGCCAAATCGTACATTCCTCGAAGGCCAGGGCCTCATCTTATTTGTGACTTAACATTTTTTCTAAATGTTTATTTTTGAGAGAGAGAGGGAGACAGAAACAGAGAGAGAGGGGGGGGGGGAGAAACAGAGAGAGAGGGAGACACAGAATCTGAAGCAGGCTCCAGGCTCTGAGCTGTCAGCACAGAGCCTGACTCGGGGCTTGAACTCACAAACCCTGAGATCATGACTGACCTGAAGTTGGACACTTAACCGACCGAATCACCCAGGTGCCCCTTAAAACGTGACCGTGAAATAGAGGTAGGCCTGTCCATATGTCACAGATGGAAGTGACTCACTACCCACAGTAGAACACGCATTGACATCTTAATACTCCTAGGAGTTGTGAGGTTCTAAAAATAGGGGTGATCAGACAACGCAGGAATCTCCCAATTCAAGGCTGTTTTGTGTTTGACATAAAATACTTCTACGTATCTTAAGATCCAAAGAAAAGTAAAATTCAATCAAATGACCAATCAAATTGAAGGCAAGCTGAAAGTTTCTTTGAACAGCAGGATCACTCATTGTCCAACATGAAAGGGAAAGCCATGCCTGGGGACACCGCAAGGAGTGTTCTTGACAATGGGGGCAACAGGTGAGGGTAGAGTCAGTATCTAGACCAAAATCTCTGCTTGCTGGGTAATCTCCAGCAAGCTGAGAAAGCAGCCCCCCCAAACTCCGAGAATACGGCAGGATGATCTGAATTGTCCCCTGATACCTTTTATTTGAGAAAGAGGTAAAACCAAGTATAGAAATGTTTAAGAGTATCAAAACTACAGCATTAATATTTTGCCTTAGGAATCTGTGCACGTTTGGTATTTTAGGTATGTGAAAAACTTAGGATAATTTGGCCTATTTCAGTTGTAAACAGATCAATGTTGAAATTTCATCCTGAATGTCAGGTGGATAACTAATTTAGACTTTTGACCTCAAGTAGAAACCTCACTAAGTTTATATAGCATTGAAACATCTAAGAAAACTTAAGCTTTTCTTTTAACCACCACACTTTTAAGATTGTGACCTGTTAATTCTTTAAGAGCTGATTCAAGTACTTAGGATGTTTTGTTAAATCAGGCAATTGAGTTACTTAAAAAGGAAATCAAATGTATTAAATTTGTACACACAGTCTAAAATATTTAAAGTAGTTTAACTGCATTTGGAAGTGATACAACATGTTAATCTAAGGCCTTCAAAAATGATTTTTCAGATTTTCTAGATGTACAAATCTTAATCTATTTATAAGCAGAATTTAAAATCGAGAACTTGAGTTTCAAATGTGTACCTTAATAAATTGAACTTTAAAGAAACAAACAATAAACACAAAAACAACCCCCCTGACTAATTTGTTTTGGCACAAAAACTGCCCTTAAGTAACTAAAGCAATTAAATAATTACTGTCTACTCACCTAGCCTGTGCTGCCTAAATCCTTATACTATCTTGGGCATAAGTCTCATCTCCCTAACAAGTTTGTTTGTGGCACCGGCTCGGTTGTCTATTTCTGCTCTATCCTCCAGGGGACCAGCGGTACATACTCAGCAAATTCTTTTCTCACCTGACTGTATGACTTTGGACAAGTCACTCTGAGCCTCAGGCATCTGAAAAGGAGGGAGTGGACATCCTGCTAAGAGGTGGTCTCCATGAGAGAAGGACCTATGTCTGTCTCATCACATTGTATCCCCAGAGCCCAGACCTGTATGAGGCACACGGCAGATACTCAACAAACACCACCGCATGAATGAGCAAATGCACTAGATAGTTCTAAGGCTCCTTTTACATGGACCCCAACTGTTATGTCTCACAATGTTTCAACGGGCCACAGGAGCAGTCCATCAACAGAAGGACAGTAACGTTAGTCACAGCAGATTAGGGTCACAGTTGGAATGAGGCAAAGTAGATCTTGACTATTCCTGTCTGGTCACCTTTCAACCAAAATGGAGTCTGCTGCAGACCAGTCTGCCTTGCTCTGCTGTTTCAATCTTCCTGTCCCAGAATGATCTCCTCCTGGCGCCATCTGAGAAAGCTAACACCCTTCAGAGGAGAGCACAGCAAGCCCTGCTTTGCCAACCTGGCTTATATGAGTGGCCTCCTGTAGCGTTGTTTTCCTGCATTCTCACACTAAGAGACCCCCTCCGCCCCAGGGGTAGTGGACAAGGAGGCAGGAGGGAAAGGAGACCAATAAACCCCTGCCCCACATACCTGGAGGGAAGTGAGGGAACATGGGAGCTTCAGTGCCGTGGCCAGTGGTTAATCGGCAAAGTGACCTGGGTGACATGGTAGGTACAGAGTTTTCTTCCCAACTCTGCCTCGAGCTCTGTGCGACCTCAAGCAATGAATCTCCTCCTCTCTTCGGGACCTCCTTCTCCAGACCTACAGAACAAGGGCAGAAATAGAAGATCTAAGGCAGCAATTCCCAAACTTTTTGGTCTCAGGAACTCTTCAACACTCTTAAAAAGTACCGAACCCCCCAAAAGCTTTTGTTGTATCTATTGGATTATATCTACTGATATTTACTGTAGTAGAAACTGAAACTGGGAAACCTTTAAAACATAAGAATTCTGAAGCACGCATTCTACTTGTCATCAGAGTGAGGATGTCATCTCCCTAAAAGAATTCCGTGATACATTTGAAGGAAACCAGAATATATCACCCCAGGATGTGCCTCTTTGACATAAAGATTGTTTTGAGCCGAAGACAATTAGGAGCAGTAAAGGCAGAAAAAGCTCTCCCTTCTCTGCCTGAAGGCAGGACATATGTTCTCCTTCGCTGAAGACAGACTCCCGTCAGCCCTGAGATGGCATCAGAGGAATCCGCAAACAAACCTTGTTAAACTCACTCTTCCCTTTCCGGTTACTCCCTCACCATTCCCAGCCCTAGCCCAAGCTTCTTTGTTTTGACACATCTTCACAAATGTATCGTTTCTTTGTCTAAAAACTATAAAAGCTGCCTGCGCTGGCCAGTTCGTGGGGTCTTCATTCTCTTACAAAGGCTCCTGTGTACGTGGAACAATTCAGTACACGTGTATACTTTTCTCCTGTTCACCTGTCTTTGTCAGTTTGATTTTCAGATCCACCCAGAGACCTTATGGTCCTCCCCTATACACTTAGGAGAGAATCAACGTTTTAAAAAATCTTAATGTCATTATGGAAGTGGTTTTGACCTCCAGGACCACACATCTCACCTTGAGGACTACACCCCACTTTGATGCCCCCTCATCAGAATGGTGACATTAGCTTTCATTAAGAAAAGAACAGGGGTGCCTGGATGGCTCAGTCGGTTGAGCGGCCAACTTCGGCTCAGGTCATGATCTCGCGGCTCGCGAGTTTGAGCCCTGCGTCAGGCGCTGTGCTGACAGCTTGGAGCCTGCTTCTGATTCTGTGTCTCCCTCTCTCTCTGCCCGTCTCCCACTCATGCTCTGTCTCTCTCTGTCTCAGAAATAAATAGACATTTAAAAAAATTAGAAAAGAGAAAAGAACAGACTGAGGGGCATCTGGGGGGCTCAGTAGGTTGAGTGGAGGGTCATGAACCAGCAGTTTGTGAAATCGAGCCCCAAGGCGGGCTCTGTGCTGACAGCGTGGAGCCTGCTTGGGATTCTCTCTCTCTCTTTCTCTCTCTCTCTCTCTCTCTGCCCCTCCCCTGCTCAAGTTCACATGCTCTCTCTCTCTCAAAATAAATAAATAAACTTAAAAAAAAAAAAAGGAACAGACTGGAAGTTATTAACTCCAAACTGAAGATGCCACCTGACACCTTCATGCCCTCCCATTGGCCTTCACTGCTTGGGACCACACCACCATGGCCTCCTGAGAACTCCTTTCGTTTCACACGTCCTGCCTGTTGTTGCCAGTGGAGCATCTCAGATCGTCCCTCCCTCCTGTCCCGTTCCTGCCAGGCCAGCCCAAGTCAAGGCGCCACGACACAGCTGCCCCTGTGAGAACTGGCGCACTGTGTAGAACAACTTCTGGAGCTCCTGGAAAACTGACTTCTAAAGGGACGGGTGCTTCCTTAGACCCAGGGAACCCAGTGAACTTTCTGCCCAAACTGCCTTTGCAGGCAGACACCCTAAGCAAGAGGCAAGAGTCTGGGGGATGACAGGAGAAGAGGATGAAGGGGACCGAGCAGGCAGCACTAGGATGGTGGGTGAGGTCAGGGAGAGGGGTGAGTGGTCCCCACCAACAGGGTGCCCCCCCCCCCCCGCGGGGCGAGGAAGCCTGCATCGGGTTCTTCGAGTCTCAGGCTAAGAGCATAATCAAGGACTCCCACCCGGTCCCTCGGGCAGATCCAGGGGTCTGATCAGCTGCCTCCTGCTGCCAGCATCCCCCTGCCCACTGGTTTCTGTTGTCGAGCCGTGGCCAGTGCAGAATGAACGGCCCGGCACACCCCTGCTGGGTACACAAGTTCGGTCCCCGGTAGCACCTGCGCACATCTGAGCAAGCGCGCTGGAGGGTCGTGTTCCAGCTCAGGGTCCGTTAGCTTCACACTCCCTTAGGGGCCGGTCACCAACAGCTCAGCAGAGGAGACCCACCAGTGATGAGGACCACAGCCCCACCTGCAGACAAAATCGTGAAGGGGGCCGGCTGCCCCTCTCCACACCTTCCGTTTCTGCGCTCATCTCCCACCACCAAGGGCGGAGAGCTGTAAAGTGCTTTGTTCTGGGACCTCCTAATATTTTGGGAAAAACTATGTATCCTTCTCAGACATTATTTATTATTTAAAACAAAAATTTTTTTTAATGTTTATTTCTGAAAGGGAGAGAGACACAGAGCAGGAGCAGGGGAGGGCAGAGAGAGAGAGAGAGAGACAGACAGACAGAGACAATCTGAAGCAGGCTCCAGGCTCTGAGGTGTCAGCACAGAGCCCGATGTGGGTCTCAAACTCAGGAACGGGGGAGATCATGACCTCAGCCGAAGTAGGACACTTAACCGACTGAGCCACCCAGGCGCCCCTATCCTCCTCAGACATTTTAAAAATCACATATAAAATTTGTATCGCAAGTTTAAGTTATTAAGAAATATGTTAGCTTCTGGCACATTGACTTTTCAAATTGTTAAATCACTCGTTTAATGTACTGAATACCCACCTTCATCTATTGAAAAGACACATGAACAAGCTCTTTTTAACAGCCATAAATTTTCCATCATTTATGATGCCTCCTTGCACTCGTATTTCCAACTATGTGACCCACACAACTTTATCTTAGTAGGATAAGCTTTTACGCTTGAAAATCCTATATAGGTCACCATACCATAATCCTTGGTTATAAAATATGTACATAAGTTAAAATTTTACATATTAAAATTTCCTAGATTATTTGTTATATTTATTATTAATTCAAAATTGAAAAAGTTAAAATTTCCTGTCACCATAAGAATCTACATGTTACTCAATACTATAGATCGATTTGTCATTGCAATTTATATTAGTAAATAATTGGGTAAAATAAAATAACTATCATATACAGTTTTTAAATAATCATCAAGCATAAAAAAGGGAACTAGTCTTTTTTTAAAGATTAGTTTTTGTATTTTGGATGAATATTGCTTATTGCTAGAGTAAGACAATATTTCGTGGAAATTACCAGCAAAAAGAAGAGAAGCTATTAATAGGGCCACTAAATATACAGAAAAGCTGAAACAAGCAGGAGACTTGTACCCAAATTAAAAATGCATATTAGCTCACAATACACAATAATCTTCTGCGTAAAAGTGAAAGAAGATTGTTTTCCCATGCATTGGGGCAAATGATTAAGAAAATACCTCATATAATTTACTTTAACTTGAAGCTATAATCTTAGTCTTTCACCCCCTCCTACTTGAAATCAATCCCCAGTATGTACTAGAGACTCGGACACCAATATTTCAAGTTGATCCTTTATTTGGCGCACTGGAGGGTCTCCACCTAGCAAGATGCAGCATGTGAGAAAGAGGTCCCCTGGGGGCTTCTGCAAAAGGGGAGTTGCGGGGAGAGAATCAGCCTGACACCTCGAATGTACCCGCAAGGACATCAGTTTTAGGGAAAAGCACATATGGAAACCAGGATCTGCAAATCGATTCTACTGAAATTACCCACATCCACGTACTCCTTGATGGAGCTTTGAGTGCTCCCAATGGTGGTTGTTCTGGGGTGCTCTGTCCATCATCTTCCCCTGCCTGCACCCACCCTGATATCCATTTCGTTCAAGCCAAAGATCTAAAGCCCCCATCGGCAAGCCAGCAAGATGTTCTCCTGCAAGTTCCAGTTGCTCATGTCTTCTCCCCCTCCCTTCCCTCAATCTTCCGGACACAGTGGCCACTCCCAGGGACTTGGGGTCGTGGTTTCTGACTGTTGCACAGTAAGAGGTACCTGCTGATGAGCTGACATACTAACTTGCAATCCATAGGGAGATGATTTCTAAAGGCTTTGCCTCTGGTGGGTGACATAAGTGAGGATGTGCCTATCTTCCTATGTCCTGCATTTTTCCCTTCTCCTTCCTCACCTCCTGGACACTCTGCAGTATCTTGGCGTTTCTAGACACAGTAAGCTGCAAATGCCTAACACACCCACCAGAAATGCAAATATAACCTCAATTTGCTGGACAGACTCAACCATGGGCCCCTAGCTCAGAAGGCTCCCAGAAGCCCAGTTTCTGGAGGGAGTGACATAGGAGGGTGGGATGGGCTTTCTCAAACGTGGTTGTGATAGAAGAGCAGAATCAGAGGGTGCTAGATACCTCAGTGAGTGAGCGGCTGAACAAGAGAACCTAAGAACCCTGCTGGTGTCCCCATTGCCCGTCCTCTCCCTGCACCATTCCTGTCACTGGAGGAGTGCCACAGCAGAGCAGAAGAACAGGACTGAGAATGGGGGCAGGAGGAAGGTGGTGACTCCTAATTTCGAGTTCTATCTTCCTGGATGAAGGGAGAGGGAAAGAACTGGCCTTAGGCCACATCTCTAAGCAAAACAGGATTTCCTGCACATCCTGTCGTCTTTTTTCTGAAACCCCTCCAATAGTGCCTCCCACACGGTTTCTTCCCTTCCCCACCCAGCTCCCTGGCAGGTATTTTTAGGCTGAGGGGCTCTCTCGGTGGTAACCGCTGAAGAGGAATGCCCAAGCACCTGCATCCCCTGCGGTTTCCTGGACTCAGAAATCCAGGGGTTCCTCCTCCTTCCAGCCTCAGCCGGACAACCCAAGAGCCGTCAAGAACTTTCTAGAGGTGGATCACTGAATCCAGATGAGTGATCTATTGAATACTTGTGTAGCTATAAAATAAGAATGCATTCATTTAGAGTTTTGTCCAGTTGCAGTGTGTAGCCTGAGTAAGAAGGCCATTAGCCATACGTTATTACAGCACGGTCTGCTTAAAATGTTTAGTGACTTCTGGGGAGAAGCAAGACATTCCTGTGTAATAGGTATGATGTTACTACTATTATCCTCATTTTACACATGAGAAATCAGTAGTTTGCCCAAACCCACACAGTCAATACCTGATAGAGAGGAAATGTGAACTCGGGTGCTCCTTTTACCTGATTCCAAGGCCACGCTTGTTCTTGGCTCCACACTGCCTTTCAGCTTCCTAGCCTAGGCCCTCAACAAGCCTCTCCCACCTTTCATACCTTTTACTTCTACCCCTTCTCAAATGGTAAGAGCCAAAACACACAATAATTAACGTGACGAGTAGCACCTAACAAGAGACATTATCAACACCTCCTGAATTTCAGCCCTATACACCCATGCAAATTCCGCCCCCACCCCAAGGATGCCTGCCACCCTACCTGGGTTTATACTGTCCTCTTGATCTTGACATCTATCCCTACCTTACTTTCTGCTCCTCCTTATGACCCCATTGCTTCCCCCATGGGAGGAAAGTGTTCTCCCCAACCAAACTTTGTCTCCTTAGAGCTCTGTTTCATATCAAGGTAGGATCTAAAAGCAGATAATGTAGGGGCACCTGGGTGGCTCAGCCGGTTAAGCATCTGACTTCAGTTCAGGTCGTGATCTCACAGTTCGTGGGTTCAAGCCCTGTGTCAGGCTCTGTGCTGACAGTTTGGAGCCTGCTTCTGATTCTGTCTCTCCCTCTCTCTCTGTCCCTCCCCTGCCTGCAGTCTGCCTCTCTCTCTCTCTCTCAAAAATAAACATTAAAAAACATTTTTTTAAAGCAGATAATGTAGATGATTCTTGGTAAGAAGGTAGAATCTCTATTAGCACAATAACACACTGGGGTAATGCTATTTGTCCATATTGGCAAGAGGAAGTTAAAGATTTTTAAGAAAATATTTGGTCAGATGGTTGTTGAATGAATGAATGATACACTCTGAAGCTAGACCAGGAAAGATGCTTTTCCATGCCAATGCCTCAGTACAAGCAGAAACCAAAGTAGAAGGGCCCAGAGGGAGGGCAGAGGGGGGAAAAAGCAAAAAAAAAAAAAAAGACTCTGGAAGAGGAACCCAGAAAGAGGGCAGGAGTATTTTTGAGCCCCATCTGAGGTAACTGATCACAGACTGACAGGTATCCCCAGGGCAGAGTCAAGGGCTACTTTGAGCCACTCTACTCTTGCCTGTTGGTGCTTGATACAGGTTTTCTGTCTGTACATGGGGTCGCTTCCACACTTCAACAGGTCAAGGGATAATTAAAAGGTTACATGTAGGGGCGCCTGGGTAGCTCAGTGGGTTAAGTGTCTGACTCTTGATTTCCCCTCAGGTCATGATCTCATGGTCATGAGATTGAGTCCCACATTGGGCTCCACGCTGTGTAGAGCCTGCTTAAGATTCTTTCGCCCTCTCCCTCTGCCCCTCCCACGCTCGCTCTTTCTCTTTCTTTCTTTCTTTCTCTCTCACTCAAAAAAACAAAACAAAAAAAAGCCAAAGCACAAAGTTACACTTACGTGTGTGTGTTTCACCTACAAAGTGAAAAACTTCTTGAGAGCAGAATCCTGGTCTGATTCATCCTGAGTTTCCCATAGATCTGACCCCACGTTACGTGACATAGTGCCTTGTAGGTAGCAGGCGCTCGATACATATTACAGATTTGTGACTAAAAGAGTGCATATGCCCCTTTTATGAAACAGACGGTTACATTTTGATTACCACACACCATCCTCCAATTTGTCATACACTTAACGTTTCCCTGATATACAGCTTCAAGCCACATGCAGCGATTTTCAGGAATATATTCTTTGATAACTCTGCTCTATCTCTCAAGCAGATCTGTGGACTCAACACAACACAACCAAACAAAACATCATATGATGAAGTTCCAAGTGTTCTTATCCTAGTGCTGTATAGTTTGTTTACCAACTAGAAGAACATGAAAGCCGACTGTGTAAATAGACACTGGATAAATTTTTGAGCAAACTGTGTTCACCAAATTTAGGAACCTTGATTCCCTAAAAACAGGATAGTTGAGAGTACGGATTCCTAAACTGAGATAAGGAAAATGTGGAAGGGTAGATAGGTAGAGGGTGCTGGCCACTGAAAAACATAAGGTGCTATGCCTACTCTTCATACATTTGTAATCCCTTTGAGTCAACTACACATATAGAGATGATAACAAGACCCGTCTTGGTGTCTCGGTTCAAATGAGTACTAAGTTCTTGGGCTGGTTAGGGAAAGCTGCTGGAGGAGCTGAGATGTGAGCAGGACCCTGAAAAATGATGAGAATCTGGGGTCCATTTGAAAGGTCCATTAGAGAAGGCTAAGACTTCAGCCTGGGAAGGGGCCGGGACCAGACAGAATCCGACTTCCCACGCGTGGCATCTTCGCACCCCCACACAGCCATCTCTGGGCCAGCCTGAGTCCTGGGACTCTTCCCGCGTTTCCTCCTCCTGCTGAACTACACCGTCTCTGCCCCCCAGAGCTGTGACTCTCTCAGCCCAGATGGTGGAGGGGGACATTTGCTGTGTGTGGCAGAAGCTGCTGGTCAACACGATAGCTCTTGTCCCTCTGTTTTCCTTAGAAATAAAACTAAGTGCTGACCAATGCGATATACACAGGAGTGGTGTGCACCTTCTAGAAAATGTCCTTCAAGGGAAGTGGCTTATCCCACCCCACCCCCATCTCCTTCCTGCCAACGGGAATGCAAATCATGCGGTAAGAGCTCATCCTGAGGAATGCAGAGCAGTAAGATCTACTGAGCCCCGGTCCCTGACAGCTTGGAGCGCCAGGCAGCACTGGTCTGCCCCCGGACTTCTGTCATGTGGGTAAGAAAAAAGCCACTGTTAAATTTTCTATTGTTCAAAATTTTTTTTGTTTTTGTCTTCAGCCAAACTTAACGTTAATTTTACACTCTACAATTGGAGGACACAACACACACACACAGAGATTAGTTCCAGTAATTTAACAAAAGGAAAGACGGTTGTCTACTTAGAAGTTAAAGAAATAGAAATTAAAGACATGAGATGCCATTTTGTCTGCTAAATTCTAAAAAAAAAAGAAAACCAATAAAAATGATAATAAGTCTTCGGGGAAACAAGTAAGCTAATGACAGTGTAATAAACTGGTACAATTCTTCTAGAAAACAATGGCCACTTCAGATATGTTTTTATACCACTACCCAGTGGTCCAATTCCTAAAAGGCTGGAAAATGCATCACAATCAATTAACCCGAGAGTAAAAAATGTATAGGGGCACCTGGGTGGCTCACTTGGTTAAGCCTCTAACTTGATTTTGGCACAGGTCACAATCTCACAGTTCATGAGTTCGAGCCCCAAATTGGGCTCTGTGTTGACAGCGTGGAGCCCGCTTGGGGTTCTCTCTCTCCCCTCTCTCTTTGCCTCTACCCTGCTCATGTTCTCTCCTCCTCAAAATAAATAAATAAACTTAAAAACTGTTTTTAAAAGGTAAAAATGTAGAAAAACGATGACAGCAGAGCTATTTTAACAGCAGAAAACCCAAACTGCCCAAATAAGATGCTACAGGGAAATGGTAAAGGATGACATACTAATTTGATGGAGAACCATCCAGCCATTTAAAATAATATATGACAAATACCATGCAATAACTTGAAAACATACAATATCTTACGTTAAAAAATACTTCAGGAAACCGAATAAACGTTAGGACCACAGCTGCCAAATTGTGGCCGCTTCCCCAGTCCTGTGCCTTTAATCAGGTTCAACTTATCTCTCTCTACAGTGTCCAGTGAGAACTGTATGTCCCGGATCCGTTCCTTGCAAATTCCTGGTCTTTTTCTATGTTGCTACCCTTGCAGAAACAATCCCTTCCTATTCTTTTGTTTTGTTTTGAAACTTATTTGTTCTTGAATTTTGAGTTTCGGGTTTTACAAGATGGTTTCCAGGGGAACATCTCAGGTAGACAAAAGAACTTCTAACAGTCTTAGTGGGATTGCTTCACAGCAGCCAGACATGCCCAAAGAAGAGAGACGCCAGTCTCAAAAAGAATTTATGGATGTGGTTTTGGAGCATGTAGTCAACTGAAGTGACAATAATGGAACATGTACGGCATTTTAAAGAGAGTTGTACTGAAAAAAGAGACAATACATTCTGGAAAATCTAAGACGACAATAAACAGATCGGTGGTTGCCAGGGTTTGGTGGGGATGAATAGGCAAAACACAGAGATTCTTCAGGGAGCTTAAAATACTCTGTCTGCGCCTATAATGATGGTATGTATCATTATACATTTGCCCCAAACCAGAGAATGTACAACATTGAGACTGAACCGTAACGTAAACTATGGACCTTGGACGATTATGATGTGTCAATGCAGGTTCATCAGTAGTAACACATGTACTACTCTGGTGGAGGATGTTGACAACAGAAGGGCTGTGCATGTGTAGAGGAAAAGGGTTGATGAGAAATTTCTGTACTTTCCCCTCAATTTTGCTGTGAACCCAAAACAATTCTAAAAAAAAAAAATAAACTCTTAATTAAAAGCAAACAAACTACAACAACGAAATATATAGCCAGCTTGGAGTAAAACAGCTAAAATTTCACAAACTGCAAAATGGTCTTTGAGGGCCCCCAATCTTTTTTGTTTTTGTTTTTGTTTTGTTTAGTAAGAGTTGTCTCAGAAAGCTACTCAGAAGCCAACACAGACTATTTCTTAAGCAAAAGAGGAAGGCAAAGCCAAGAAACAGGATGGAGACACCAAAAGCGATGGGGAATAATGGATCAGGAAGGGACTCCCAGGGACAGGACTGGGTCCTGCTCTCAGAACAGAAAGACCTGGCAACACGTGCCTGGCGGGATTCCAGAATTCTTATGAATTCTGTGCCTGCTGTGTATCTTCCCTTAATTCCCTTTTTGAAGGGAAGTATTTACTGCAATTGTCCTGGCCCTATCTTTCATTGTTTGTTGAGTGTTCGCAGAGCATGTAATTTGTCTCTTCCACTTACAGGTTTCTGAATCCAAAGGAACCACAGCCAAGGAATTCACCCTCATTTGGACTTGATAGAAATCACAGGACTCAGGCCTTGGAGCCTAATGCTACAGGTAAATGAGATTTGTAGGGGTGCTCAGAGGGAGGGAGTATATTTTGCATATGACAGGAGAATGAATAATTGGAATTAGGAAAAAGGTTGTGGTCTACTTTTGTAGTAGTGGGCACCAGTGATTCATGCCTTTAGGTAGCCACTTCCCATATTGACTCTGGGCTTGGCCGTGTGACTTACTTTGGTCTGTGGGACACAAACAGAGATAATGCAAGCAGAGGCTTGAAGAAACACTTGCTCAGTGGGGCTTGCCCTTTCTTGCTCTTTCCATGGAGGCCTTCCACTACCATACAGAGAAGCCCAGAGACCTAGTGGAGAATGAGAGATCACGTGGAGACAGGCCTCAAGCTGTCCCACGTGAGACATTCCAGGTGAGGTCTCAAAGATGAGAATGAGTCCCATTCTGGCCCAGCTGGTCCAGACTAGAAGAAACATCCAGCTATCCTATAGAATTATGGTAGTGGTATTAAGCCATCAAGTTTTAAGGTGGCTTTTTAACCAGCAGATACAGCGAAACTCAAATAGGGGCAAATCTAGCTTATGGAAGGTGGGAGAGGTGACTTTGAAGCAGAGAAATCTCTGGGAAGAACAGGCCTACGTGTGTGGGCAGTTTCCCAAGACAAACTAATGCAGATTCACAGGGGGAGGCCATAACGATGGTTAATGAGGGGCCAAGAAGAAGAAAGTGCCAGAAGTTAAGTCTAATAATGGGAAAAGTGAAGATGAAAACTGGAGGATGAGCAGTACTTTTGGAAGTTTGTGGGATTAAGAAGAAGCAAAGTAGTGGGAGAAATGAATGGGTCAGAACAAGTCAATTCAGAAATAAAGCTTTGAACCCAGAGTTCTAGGTCTTCTTTCAATGGAGCAGCTAACAGCTAATTCGTGTGGTGTGCAGTAAACACTGAATCAGAATATGTGAGGGTGTGACCCTGGAATCTGCATGCTTAACAAGCTCCCCAGGACATGTTAATGTATACTTTCTTCTCAGTGAGCTGCCCTACATATGAAGGAGTATTGAAAGGGGTAAACTCTGTCAAGTTACCAAAGTTCTAGAATACCCTTTCCCTAGGACAACAGGTCCTCACTCCCCTCAAACACAACCATGGAAGATCAGTAGTTCTCAAAACAAGATCAGTAGTTCTCAAAACAAGATCAGTAGTGCTCAAAACAAGATCAGTGGTTGAGAACAAGTGGTTCTCAAGACATTAGAATCACCTGGGAAACCCAGAAAAAGAAAGAAAGAAAAAGAAACTCTATGTCCTACTGCACAAGAATTCAATCTGAATCTCTGAGAGTAGCATCTAAACATCAGTACTTTAAAAACATCCCAGGTGATTGGATTATGGGGTGGAGGAAGACTCTGGAAGAGATGATGTAATCTCTAAACCAAGAATCCATCAGGTTTCTGAGAAATGAGTAATAAATGCAAAATCTCTCTGAACCTCCTCATTTTCATGTATTTGGCGATTGATCTAAACTGCCATTAACTCAAAGAGCAGTGTTCAGAATTTGGTGACTAATGGCTATTTCTGAGTCAAAAATGAAATAGCATTTATTTTCATCATGTAATAAAAGTCAGGCAAACATTAACTCAGACCCAATGAATCAGCAAACGTGATTATTCAAACAGCCTGAAGTCAAGTTATCTATGAAAATATATTTTTGCTTAATTTGTTACACAAAACTTCAAGATTTTGGTAGAAATGTTTAAACTACTACTACTAAAAAAACAAAAAAGAAAAAAGAAAAAACGGAATCTAAATGAATAAATGAATAGAACTAGCCTGATGTCTGAGACAACAAAGAGTAGTTGGGAGCTATGACAAATCAAATTTTCAGGGATGAGAAGATTTTTGTGCCAGTCAAACCTAAAAGGATTGGAGCCCAATTCAGCTGACAGGCTGCTGGTCTAGGGGCCTCTGAGTCATAACAGAAACTATTAGGATATAGACAAGAACATAAGTATGAAACTGTGATAGTTAAGGGATCAGGAAAGATTTTAAAGAAGTGGGGACCGTGGAAACATTTTAAAGGCTGAGGATTTTTTCAAGTTTTAAAATGTAATTTAAAGAGTGTTAAACTTTTCATTTTGAAGTGATTTCATGTGCAAGTATGTTATAAATTTAGTACAAAGACTTCCTGTATATTCTTTACCCAGGTTCTCCAGATGTTAACATCCAACATAACTTCTGTACAAAGATCAATATCAGGAAGTTTACTACAATACTGTTATTAATCTACAGACCTTATTTGAATATCACCGACTGTTCCACTAATGTCTTTCTTTTCTTCTTTCTTTCTTTCTTTCTTTCTTTCTTTCTTTCTTTCTTTATCTCTTTTCTTTTCCTTCTTTCCTTTCTTTTTTCCTTCCTTGTTTCCTTTCTCTCTCTCTCTCTCTCTCTCTCTCTCTCTCTCTCTCTCTCTCTCTTTCTTTCAGGTTCAAGACCTAATCCAGGATCACACTTTGCATTTGGTTATTGTGTCTCCTTGGTTTCCTTTAATCTGGCATAGTTTCTCTTTGTCTTTCATTGCCTTTCATGATCTTGACATTTTTAAAGAGTGCTGGTCAATTATTTTATAGAATGGCCCTCAGTTTGGATTCGCCTGATGTTTGCTCATGATTTAAATTCAGTTTATATATTTTTGGAACAAATAACACAGAGTGATGCTGTATCTATCTGAGTGTGTTCTAACCAGAGACATATGATAGTGACTTGGACCATTACAGTAAGGAAAATTAAATCACTAAATGAAGCTGGGGCTTGTCATGTTTCTCTATTATAAGCTTACTATTTTTCCCATTGTAATTAATCATAAGCTTTTGGGAAGATACTTTGACATTATGTAAATATCCTATTCCTCATAGTTCTGTTTACTAATGTTAGCATTTATTAATGACTTATGTCTGAAACAATTACTACTGTGGTGTTTGCCAAATGGTGATTTTCTTTTTTTTCTTTAATTTTTTTTAATGTGTATTTATTTTTGAGACAGAGAAAGACAGAGCATGAATGGGGGAGGGTCAGAGAGAGAGGGAGACACAGAATCTGAAACAGGCTCTGGACTCTGAGCTGTCAGCACAGAGTCCGAATGTGGGGCTCGAACTCACGGACCGCGAGATCATGACCTGAGCCAAAGTTGGACGCTGAACCGACTGAGCCACCCAGGCGCCCCCAAATAGTGATTTTCTAATTTCATTACTCTTTCTATGTTTATTAGTGGAATTCTATTTACTTTTCTTCTCTCTCATTTGTTTGTTTGTATATGTAAGTATAGTTTCTGGATTCTCACTTTATTCTATGGGTTATAATCTATTATTAGCATTATTTGTTGTTCAAGTTGTCCCAGATTTGATCATTAGGTACCCCTTCAAGTAGGCTCCTATGTCCTTTTGACATATCCCCATCGTTTCTGTTTTAGTACTTCCTTACTTCTGGCAGCACAAGACACCGCATGCCCATCCTGCATTTTCTCCGCCTCAGACCTAGAACCAGCCATTTCTCCAAGGAACCCTAGTAATTTCCGTTAGAGAATGGTAACCAGAAACCATGATCTGGGCAAGTAGTGTGCCCATTGGTACTGAGTGTCATGGCTTCTAGGCTTTCTCTGCAGATAGATATCTCGGTCTATTGTCATATGCATCTACATATTAAAAATTACAAGTTCATGGTGATGATCTCCAATTTGATTCCAACATGACCAAGTTCATTCTAGCCTTCCCCTTTTCCTTATTTATAACTCCTTTCCCTGACCGTGAGAAGCTTGGCTCTCATTCTCCATACCATTTTAAATTATTTGCTCAATCCTAGTTTACACGTTAGGTGGTTTTAGACAGTCTACTCTTTTTACTCCACAACACCTATATACATCTATCTTCCCATACATGCATTTTTAAAAGCATCCATCCACATCTGCATAAAGTACAATCATTCCATCCCCCAAAATAGACAATCCAAGTATCATCCATTACTGCATCTAGTTCCAAGTCCAGGACTTCTTTCAGTCTGGATGTCGCTCTTCATGGTTGGTTAAAGCATGCATAAGACAGATTTATCAATCACCAACAAATCCAGTACATAACAGCAGAGAAAGACCAGGGATGACCACAATGGAAGACATCTCCATTATAAAAGAGGAGAAGTGGGAAAACATACACACACATGAACACAGACACATCCTGAACAACAATACACATAAAACATAATTCTCCTGGGGTGACTATGTGACTTGAAGGTGAACATGACTTAAATTGTCTAATCAGGGTGAGTCTCAGAACTCTGGCTTAGAAATGCTGTACAAAGGATTTGCTTTTTTCTTCTCAGCCTCATCGTCTGAAAATGCTCTGACAGTAGAGGAATAGATTAATCAATTTGGCAGCCTCTGGTTTTCTTCTCCTGGAGGCTTTTTGTTCACGGAAATAGCTAGAGATGTTTCCCTTTCTAGGAGCTACATAATTTTAGCATCCTCTTTTCTGTGTGTAACTTCAAAGAGCCTGAGAGTGTCTTAGGAGTTGAACAGTCATGGACTGTGGTTGTCCAGGATTGGGATTTCTTTGGCAATATAACTCCTTTACAAACTTAGTTATCATCAAGAGATTTTGACATAGGCTAAGAACCATAAACAGACAGCCTGCCTCTAGTCATTGTATTTAAGTCTAGGACTTTAGACTGTCTAACAATAAGCCTTTGTTGTATGACCACCCCCTAAAGCCTTAGTGTAATGGCTGCTACTTTTGGGTTGACTTCTGCTTCTGGACAGTTTCTGACCATAACTTGCTGTGGAATGATTTGTTCCATCATAGCTGCTCTTATTTGCCTTGTCAGGTGAATACTGTTTTGTAGGAAGCTTTGGGGAGTGGTCTAAAGAGTCAGGCTTGTCTTTTGCCCTAGTCTTACCTCCTATCTTTACTTCACTTGGAGTAGAGTATTTGGTCTTTGCAACGCTGCTAGATTTCAGTCATCTTGATTTCAGCCCATACCCAAAAAGAGAATTTCTAAGCAAAATCATATACCCTTCCTTCTCTGCCTTCAGATGGGTCACTTCATCTTAAGGTCATTTCTTTATTTTTTATTACGTTATTTATTTATTTATTTTTAGAGGGGGAGAGGGAGAGTGAGTGAGCATGCAAGCAGGGGAGAGGGGTAGAGGGAGAGAGAGAGAAAGAGAGAGAGGGAGAGAGAGAATCTTAAGTAGGCTACACGCTCAGCACAGAGCCCAATGCTGGGTTCAATCCCATGACCCTGGGATCATGACCTGAGCCAAAATCAAGAGTCAGACTCTCACCCAACTGAGCCACTCAGGTGACACGTCAGATTTTTCTTTATTGTAGGACCTTTCTGTAATCAAAAACCCTGGATATTTCCTACTATTTCCCCTTATGTGCCTTGAAGCTTCAGGCCTGACTCTCAACAGGTCACTGCTGCTCACCTCATCACCTCTGCTCAGCCAAATCCACATTTTAGGGTTTGTATTTTACTGTACCCCACTCCTGGAACCAAATTTCTGTATCAGTTATGAATTCTCTGGTGCAAGAAACAGAAGAGTTTGCTCAAATCAGCATAAGCAATGAAGGGATCTATTAGCTTTTATAAATTGAAATTCGGTGATGAGGCAAACCTCAGAGTCAGCTCACCTCAGACTGGGATCCACTTAGCTGCACACTTCTCTTCGCATTGGCTTCCTCCTTGAGCTCTTTTCATCCTAGCAGCAAAATGGCCCCAGTAGTTCTTGTCTTTCCATCTTTATCCTCTGTTTCTGAGAGGAAAAGCAATTAAAACAGCTTTGGTACCATGACTGCATGCCAGAGCCCCAAGATCAGCGCTGATTGGACTGTTGAGATTACATGGCTACCTCTAAACCAATAGGAGTTTAGTATATTTGGCCTAAGCCAACCAGTGCCCATCTCACGGGTGGTGCGTGACAACCGTAGAAACCTAATTGAAAACAGTAGGCCATTAGCAAGGGGAAAGTGGATTCTGGGTAGGCAACTAATAATAATCCATTTCCAAGCCTTTCAAAATAAATTTGTTACCAGGCCTTTAAAAAATAACTTCACGTTATCTTTTTTTTTTTTTTAATAAAATTAATCTGTATCTGAAATGATGTCTTTCTGAAGAATCTAAGGCTTCGTGAGAACGGGGACCTTATCTGTCCTGTTCATTTCACTTGAAATACAATGCCTGGCATTCAATAAATATTTGCTTAATAAATGAATGAATGCATTGTGTTTATCCTGAATCTCTGAGACCTTCCAGCATAATGTCCCAAACCTCTAGGGCATGAATATTTCATTTGAGATGCTTGGGCTTAAAGCTTCACAGCTGGTAAGTAGATGGCCAAAACCTGAACTCAGGCTTGCTGACTCCACATATCATGCATTTCCGACTATTCCAAACTGCTCTCATGTGTTAAAATAAGCCCTCAGAGTTTTAGCACAGCTGTGTTCAGAATACACGTAGGAACTACATAAAATATGCTGACAGCTAGTGTCCAAATAACAATTTGGAGGATTAATGGGACTCTAAAACTCACGTGAATTGATGTTTGCTTTTCTGATGTGAGCTATCAACATGCTCCAAGTTAAAATCATATCCTGCCTAACAGTATATGAAAGAATGGGATTGATCTGTTGCTAGCCTACTTTCTCATTTTGTCATGGCAATAACAGAAGGCACGTTATAATTTTCTTATTGCTTATAGCTTCTGTCGAAGGTAAAACCTTTTTATCTGATAGTGTTAGCAGAGAAGACTGATCAACAGAGTAATAACATTAGCTGATTATCTACCATGAGCTAGGTACTTACTCATTTACATATTTTAATTTTTATCCATTTATTGCATATTTATTGAATACTTTCCATGTGGCAGGCACTGTGCTACAGGAAAGGGAAACAACACTTAGCACAGGCTAGGGAGATATTACAGATTAAAGTGCACTGATTAAGATGACAAACTCTGGAGTCAGAAAGATCTGAGTTCAAACCCTGGCTTTGCTGTAGCCTGTGAGATCCTGGGCATACACAGTTAACTTATCTTTGTCTTATTTGCTTCATTGCATGAAATTGTTCTTTAACTTATATACAGTTGTTTTGTGAGTCTTCAGTGAGATAATTTAAATGTTGTACTTGCCATGCCTGACAAATAGGAGTTGCTCAATTAAATGTTATTTTTATTATCAGATGGTCTCTATCTTCAAGTTGCTTACAATGAGTGCAGAAAACAGACATAAGCCTTCACACTTAATTTCTCCCAAAATGTTCTGAGTGTTATTTTTCCCCTTTATGAGCGAGGAAATTGAGAATTTCAAGAGTTTGTTCAAGGCCTTCATTAATGAGTAAATGAGGCAGAATTCAAAATTCAAAGATGTCTAAGTCCAAAGCCATGTTATCTTCAATTATCTGAATGAAGAATTGAGACAGTGGTTCCAGTCCTGACGTTAATGGTTCTCAACCCTGGAGAGAGTCTATAAAGCACCAACTGCCAGGACCCTGTTCCAATTCAATTAAATCAGAGTATCAGAATCGAGGCTGAGTAGGGCATCAAGTTTTTTCAAAATCTCCTCAGGAGATTCTAGCAGGCAGCCAGAGTGGAGACCCACTCAACTCTCTGAAGACTCTTCCAGCTTTAACAGTCTGATCCTTTTATATATGGTGGCGGTTGTCAGAATGAGATCAGTGCTTGTAGAAGCAGGGATATTCCAGGACTTCCCTCCACTGTGGCTCCGTGTCACCCCTGTGTCCTTTAGAGGAAAGGCCCAGGGCAGGTGGAGCTCCCTTCACCTAGGGCCACCGCCGTGGGTTGTAAAACCCAGTAAAGTACCCACCTGGCATACCCAGCAGCTGCACGAGTGCTGGCAAAGGAGGCTGGTGAGAATCCAAGCTCCCTCTTCAGGGCTGGGTCGACAGATCAACGGTATCCTTCACACATGGAGGAAGAAGCGGCCTGGGAAATGTCCCAAACAGATGCAGCTGTTCTTTGTTGCTGGAGAGGATGCCAATAACATTTTGTTCCTTGGGGTTCTCAAGAATGAAAAGTGTGCATAGCTATAAAAACAAATAAGCCCATAGGGATAATCATCATACTAACCTAAATGTCATATAGACACATATTTAAGTTAATTAAGTCATAACCGATATTTTGACCTATTCTGCCACAGACTTTACATTGAGATATTCAATAAAGGGAAGAAAAACAGTTCATCAACCATGGGGTGCCCTCTGGGATATGTCAGTCACTTAGCATCAAAGCTTCTGCAGCTCCTGAAACTGGGGTCATTTTAGGAACTCATTCCAGAGTCCGGTCCACATAAATCTAACCTGTCCACTCTCTGATTCGCTCCTCATAGCAATTCTGTGAGATGCATAGTCAAGCATCACTATTCTTATTTTACAGAGTTAGGAACTGAGGCTTAAAAAGGTTAAGTGATTTGCTCGCTGACCAGAAAATGCATATCCTACATTCAAGCATGCCCCTCTGGATTCTATGTTCTTTTTAAAAAAATTTTTTTTAACGTTTATTTATTTTTTTGGGACAGAGAGAGACAGAGCATGAACGGGGGAGGGGCAGAGAGAGAGGGAGACACAGAATCAGAAACAGGGTCCAGGCTCTGAGCCATCAGCCCAGAGCCCGACGCGGGGCTCAAACTCACGGACCGCGAGATCGTGACCTGGCTGAAGTCGGACGCTTAACCGACTGCGCCACCCAGGCGCCCCTGGATTCTATATTCTTAAGCTGACTACCTACACAGCTCTTCCCATCAAAATCTGTGCAGAGTGAACAGAAGACAGGAGCTCTTCAACTCCAGAGATAGGCTAGATCGGGTTATCAAAGATAGAGGTCTGCTCAGGTGTGTTACAGAAATAAAGCGACTATTTTTATACGCCGAGTACCAAGACCGCATGCAGTGCGCAAAGACACCTTTCTCTGGAATCCTTGCTCAGATAAATGAACTATTGAGGGGCTAGAGCATCATGGAACAAACTCAGTTTTATCCCACCCACTGCCTCTGTTGGATCTCTCTTCCTCATAGCTTAGTGGTACCTCAGACAGACGCCTTATCTTTTTCAGTCGGTCAGATATCAAGGATTTCTCATTTTCAAATATTAAAAAGTCCAGTTCATTTAACACAAACCTTCAGTCTCCCATATATTTTCAAAGCGCACCTCCTCCCCCGTTCAGGCCTGACCCGAACTCAAATACTTGAATTAAGGAAGGGAGGTGGGTATGGACCAGTTCCTTACTTACCCTAAAACACCTTCTCCTCAACTTACTCTGCTGCTTCTAACTACTTCAGAACTAGGGCAAGGAGAGGGAGGAGGGGCAGAGAGGCAAAAAGCTGTATTTGACCAGCATTGGACCAATATGGTCATGGCGTCCACTACTTGACAAACCATGGCTTTTTCTTTCTTACATCACTTTTGTTGGTTTTTGGAGACCTCCTTGCTGGAGACATCTCCCTGAAGAGATTAATATCCCCTGGCTGACCACTCACGATCCCCTTAGCTCCTATAGGACAGCTGACCCATCAGTCTCTGCCAGTTTGTCTAGTCCCCACGGGCAGACCCTTTGGGTGGGGTCCTTTCAAGGCAACCAGAGCCTGGCTTTCATCTGAGGTGTCCTCCCTGCCCCACAGAGGACAGGGTGACACCCACCCCTGCCTGCAACAGATGGAAGTGTTATTTGCTGTCCCTTTGGCCTCTCTCTTCACCCTACACTGGGGACAAGTCTATCAATATTTCCCCTTCAGACTTTGCATGCTCTGTGCCCTGCCAACTCTAGACAACACTTGTCAAACTTCCCTGAGAGTTCTCTCTGAATCCATGGCCATCTTGGGTTTCTGTAGTTATGTAAGCAACTAGTTTGGAGGTGAGTAGTCAACATCCCATATATTCAACCCTTTCCCAGCTCCAATCACAAACTCGATTTGAGTAGGAAGAGGGGCGGAAATATTCTGTTCAGGGGAATCCTCTCTGACTAACCTCACAGCATTGCTATTGCCTTTTTTGTGTGTAGGTGAGGGTGGGTGATATGCTATAGGTGGTAAAACTCGTTCCAAGTTCTTAGCAAGTCTTACTGATACTCTAGCACCTTCTGCCCTCAGCTTTGGAGCCTGAGTCAATAGGACCATCCTCATTCATATCGTGCTACAGAAGTAAGAGAGCTGGCCACCTCTCTGGGCTGCCTTAAATGCAGTCCTTCTCAGTCACACTGATTTTTAAAAGGAGAACACTGTAATTAAAGTAAGTAATCGATTAAATTTAAGCAATCAAATTACCTCAAGCTGTTTTCCAACATTCAGTTTTAATATTCAGAAGCTTAAGCTTTGTTTGTCTTTTCTAACCATAGGACAATTCCTAAAATTACTTGGAAAGTGTGGGAAATGCTTGTTTTTCTTTTAGGGGTATGGAATAATAAACCAGGTATAATACAGAAAAGCAATTCAAGGACCCTTAGATCCACCAATCATTTAACAATAAAGAAGTCTTAACAAAAGGGGCATCATAATATAAGCTTTTGAAAACAGTGTTCCCCTCTTTCACTAGTGCTTGGCTGCAGAAGAAACTTGAAATCAGTTGAATTCTCAGACTATGTAATTCCTATTTACATCCCTGGGGAGACAGAAATATCAAGAGAATATTTTTTAAAGTTTATTTATTTTGAGATAGACAGAGAGAGGGAGAGAATGAACAGGGAAAGGCAGAGAGGGAGTGAAAGAGAGAGAATCCCAAGCAGGCTCCACACCTCCAGGGCAGAGCCCAACACAGGGCTCAAACCCATGAACCACAAGATCATGACCTGAGCCCAAAACAAGAGTCAAATGCTTAACGAACTGGGCCACCCAGGTGCCCCAAGAGAACATATTTTTAAATGCTCAGTAAAACTACAGATTTGAAGAAATATAAATCTTGCCAATCATATATATGAAATCTCTTCTATTTGAACAGGTTGATCTATAAGCTGTTCTTTCCAGGTCATTTTTCTTCCTTCTTCTAGAGAATCTGTGTGAATCATTGTGGCCATAAAACTATACGACTGAACACTGCTAATTACATGACTTTTAACTGGAAGAGAACAATGTTTTAGTTCTCCATCTCTTGATGGAGCCGTCTTACTCAGCCATAGATTTTTCTATCAGCGTGCAGCCAAAAGTTGGGCTTCGCTGGTCAGAGGGTCTGACTGTCTGTGGAAGATTCAGGCACGGCAGTCAACAAGACTCAGAGGGGCAGCTTCTGCGGCTTTCCTAGAACCTTGTTCAAGCTGGGCTTCTGCCCGGCCAATGGGGGGCCAGCCCTGTCCTAGAGCTGGCGGCACCCTGGCCTCCCGCACCCCACGGGCTCTTGGCCAGATCCCTCTGCCCTGACCCTGGATGGCAGCAGGACGCCCAGGCACATAGGGACAAACCTCCTCCGCTTTCCACTCTGCCATGACATCAGCCGGTGCAAGAAGTGCCAAAGTATAGGAGATTGGTTTAATAACTGATTTAGCCATTTCCCTCAAGATAAAAATAATGTGCCTCTGAATTACAACATGTTTCCATAGTAATATTGAACACAGTATCTGTGGGCCAGCAGGACCAACAATGGCACCCAGCTCAGTATCTTCCTTCCAAGTGCCCCCACATGCATCAGCTCATTGGGACCTGACACTGATGGGAGGGAGGGAGGCTGCACTAATATTATCACCTCTCTTTAAAGCCATGGAAAGGGGTCATTGCACTGGATGAATCTTGCCTCGAGTCACTAAGCTAGGTACTTTCCAGTCAGAACTGAAAGCCCTATTTCCTCATCCTCACGGTTCCTACCGCATTAACTGAGGAGAAGAAGGCTGCATGGCATTTTTTTTTTAATGTTTATTTTTGAGAGAGAGATAGAGTGTGAGCAATGGAGGGGCAGAGAGACCAAAGACACAGAATTGGAAGCAGGCTCCAGGCTCTGAGCTGTCAGCACAGAGCCCAGTGAGGGGCTCAAACTCATGAACTGGGAGATCATGACCTGAGCCGAAGTCAAACGCTTAACTCACTGAGCCACCCAGGTGCCCCTGCATGACGTTTTTTAAAGAATAGGTTTGTTGTTGTTGTTTTTTTTTTTCTGATTATAGAAGTAATGTGGATTCTTAGGGGAAAAAAAAAGAGGAAAAATACAAAGCACTAGGAAAAACAGAAAAATTGCCCATATTCCCAGACAGGATGAGTGCTATTAACATTTGGATGTATAATCTCATATGTACATTCTTCTTTAAAAATGGTTTCATACTGTGCACACTGTGTTTAATAAGTTCCTTTCATGTTCTTCCCAATTATAAAGGTAACATATGCTTATTACAGGAAAACCAGAAAACATGGATGGTCATAAAGAACATCAAAACCATCTCATAAACCCACGCGTTAAGAAGCAGTTTCACTGAATTTGACGTTTAGAAAGCCCATAAAGTTGCAACACGTCTCTAACGCAAGGGTAAGATGTTTTAGGAAGAGTAAGGAACCAATACTCCGCCATTTAGAATCTAAGCTGATTTGTCTGGAATGAATGTCTCTTTATTCCAGCTTCCCTATCATAAATACAGGCAAGAATTTCCAATTACCATCACAAGAATGTTTTGGGATCGATGATAGAACATTCATTGGGAGTTTTGAAGGTTCTGAAAGAAACCTACCATCTCCAGACCATGAACCACACTAATTCAGATTAGGTTTCTCCTTGCCAGGCCAGACCACATGGAACTGGGGCCACGTGAAAACAGCAGAAGGTGGTTTGGCCGGAGATACAAACTCGAGCTTTATCTAGGCCAGGGAACGGAAGGGGCTGACCAAGCGAAGGAGAATGGGGAAGCCCATTGTTCTTCTGTCCAGGCCAAACCACCCAAGCCACATTCATGTGCAGGTGCTAAAGATTCTATGAGGGAGACAGTGTTGTCTATTCTAGGACTTGCATACCAATTTTTCTTTGAAAAAAAAATTTTTTTTTGCTATATCTCTCATTGCCTTGGAAATGATAGCCCGAATGCGGAATGTTCCGCCATCTAATCTAATAACAATCTCGATCAT